ATTTTTCCTTATATACCTAAGAGACTGTCAATAAGAAAAAATACCAGTAACACTGTATTGCTTTCTATATTATAGCATTATAATGATGCTATACAAAAGTTTAAAATGAAAGTACTAAGGTAAGTTAGTAACCAAAAAATATTTTTTATATAGGTGACAGGCTGAGAGAACGATTTTTTTTATTTAATAAATCAGAAGCTTAAAATAGCCAACAAAAATGACAGATTTACAACCCCCGTCTTTCCTTCCAAAAAGGTTTCAATTTGCTTATTTGGCTGATACTTGAAGAGCTTTGAGGACTGCTTCTTCAATGGAGGTCAATGTTAAAAGGAGAGCAGCTATTGCCTCAGGAGACATCCACATTTGAGTAGAATTTAAAGGTTTGACAAATCATGGAGAAGTTTCTTACATGGTTTATAGTTCTTTCTCTTTCCTGGTTATTGTCCCTTAATCACGTCACTGCTAATTAACAATTCTGTCACTTCAGAGATAGGATAATAACAGGGAAACAAACCTCAAATTTATTGGTGGTGGCTGAAGTTAATTTTAGAATCCAGTTTGCTCTAAATAATGGAGGGGAAGGCTAGTCTGAATAGTCTTAATGGTTTGAAAAGCAGTATTACTACATTTTAGGCACAAAGTATCACTCTAACGACTTGCCACAGAGACCTACTTTTACACGAGTATTAATGTGTGGAAATAAATGCTCTCTGTATTTCAAAATGGCTTATTTTTTATTAGAATTACGGGTGTTTCATGAAATATTGCTTATATTATTCATTTGATTAGCTAATTCTTCCTTCAGCAATAGATAAATTTTAGCCTAGCCATCATCAAAAAAAAAAAAAAAGAAAAAAATAAGATTTTATGCATTTGGAACCCAATTATTACAATACACCCTACTTAGTTTTCAATAAAATTAAAGATAAAATTGGCTACAAAATGCTTTCATTTGATAAGTTTCTGATAAAAAGAAAATTATATATAAATACATTATGTCCCTCTTACCAATATGAGCTCTGTCAGATATGATGAGCCTTTTTTCCCAGCCTTCCAGACCTAGAGGGAAGGGAGGGGGAAAGATACAGTTAATTGAGTATTTTGTATAATAATTTTAAAATCGTAATTTCTTTAGAAACACAATGTTTACAACTGTTTTTCACTGAAATAATCACTTTCGTATCTTTCCTTCCGCCTAGGAAACATGTTTAACAAGAATTTGCTCATCTGTCATTCATTATATATACAAACTCATTCACAAATTCTATCTTTCTAATTGTTTTGCTCTAAAAAGCTCCAAATTCAAGCCAGTTATATCCACATAACATACTTCTAGGCATCAAAAAAGCAAATGGTAAGAAAATATTTTGTTGGAGGTGAGGGACAAAGGAGTTAGGCATGGAGCAGGGGGAGAATTTTGAGAAAACAAAGTTAATTTTGGGAATATTTGTCCCCAAATACAAATTGTTATTTGGGACAAATAATTATTTGCCAAAAGACAATTATAAAAAGTGTGATTAAGCAAAATAATAAAATATTCTCACTAATTCTTCCAAAGTACTATCAATTACTGTATTAGCACACTGAATTGTAGTAAAATAGATGATAGATAGACAGATCGATAGATAGATAGATATACATATCTCCCCATTTAACTGTGAATGCCTGAGAACAGGGACCATGAATTTCCATATCATGGACAAGTCATCCAATAAATGTTCAAAAAAAATTGTTGAATGAGTAGATAAATGAAACTAAATAGATATATTTTTTTAAAGACAATAAACCTTAGTAGGCCACATGCATTCTAAGAATAAGCCACCAAGCTCCAAACATTTTCAAAACTAATTTTTATATTAAAAATTAGTTAATTTTGATAATACCCAAAGATTTAGTTTGAAAATTATTCCTTATAGATTGAAAAGGAGAACCTCCTTGGTAATGTGCTAAAAGAAACCCAGAATATTAAGCCTTCCATTTTATAGCTGTTTTTGATATGTAAATTTGTACTCTGAAGGTAGCTTAGGGAATATTATAAAGAAAACATTACAAAGAAGCTTAGCAAAGTGGAGTCAGCTGGATTAGATAGGCGGAAAGGAAAAAGAGAGTAGGGTCAAGTTTTTCAAGGGGATGAAGGAGAGCAGAGTGCAGCATGGGAGCTCAAGTTGACCAACTAAAAGAGCTGACACCAATACACAGGTAAAAATGCACAGGGGACAACAGATATGGTAGCAAGACAGGGCTCTCTGTGAAGTCAGACTTAGTTGGCAGAAAGACTTGAGGACAGATTGCTACTTTTAAACCTGAAAAACTTTAATAAGGTAACAGAATTGAGTATTTTAAGTATGAGCTAAGGGAAAAGTACACTAATGAGTTTCCTCAATTGTGTATTATTTGCATTGCCCAAAACCCCTCAAACCCTAGCAAGGCAGCCAAGTTGAATGTAAACAGACTTTCAAAAACCCAAAAGACATCAGGAAAGGCAGGAAATCAAGAAATTTTTGCTAAAGGAGATAGACTACATTGCACAGAAGGAGCATTTCTCTCATTTGGAGAGAGGGATCTAAACAACCCTCTTTTATCTCTGGGTTGTAGCAGCCAACCCAGGGAGCTCTAGGTCCTCTAGGAAACAAGACCAACAGTGTGCAGAATGCGCTTCTGTGGCTTCCTGACTGCCCTGAGCTAATTTTTGGTTTGTGCAGAGGTATGCTAATTTGAGCACAAGCTCATACATTTCCTCGAGTTTTGCCACCAAGATAGTCAGTAATTCTACCTCCCTCAAGTTTACAGATGACCAATTACATTAAAAAAAATCAAGACTTATACAATGACCACATGTTCGTCTTTTGTTTAAATACTGATTATAAATACAATTTAGTAACTGACATGAAAAAAACTTGTCCTACAATAACCTGCAATTTTAAAGTACAAGACCAAAATGTTAAGTTTGTCTGGCATGCGATCCCAATAAAACTTTACCAAAAATAACTGGTTACCAGGCAAAGTAGATTCGGTCTTTCATACCTTTTCCTTTTTGAACATTTTTCTCTGCTTCCTCAAATAATCCAGGTAGATGAATTACCACACCATTTCCTAAAGGGAAACACACAAATCCCAACCTTAAACATCTATATTTATAATATAGACATATATAAAGATATCGAAATACAGACAGCTGCAATAACCCTTTATCTATACTAGTAGAAGAGCGAGGGACTTTGATTAATAGAACATTCGAATTTATCAGGGAGTCACCACAGAAAGGATTCCAAGTTTTAAATAGTAGTATAATGTAAATACACAATAGAGCATAATACATAGAATAAAAAAACACTAAAATCACGCTCACTTTAAAAGCTCTTGAAACAAAGTGAAACTGTTATTTTGAAAGAAACTAGTTATGTAGTTTTAGGCAAATTAAACCAGGTCACAGTAGGCTCTAGATGGATACCTTTGAAATTGAAGAATCACAGCCTATTAGTGGTCATGCAATAGATTTAGTGGGTTATGATAAGCATTTAAAAAAAAAAAAACTAAACTAGAAAATATCAGGTTGCATCACATATTATAATAAGAGTTCAGAATCCATTTATGAAACATAGGCTTGTTTTCCTACTGTGTGCCATAGTGTTTAAAAAACTGGATGATCTAATACTTCTTTATAGAATTAAGATTGCAAATGATCCTACAAAAATGCAAAGCAATCATTCCAAAAAGTACTAGTGCCAGAAGACCTAAAAGAGTTGTAAAACTGCCAAAGCTAGGTGTATTCCAGAAGATGCCAAGGTCAATATTAATCATTTGATTAGTGAGAGATGAAATCCGTTGAGATAATGAAAAATGAACACTATTATCAGCTGGGGGGAAAATCCCCAAGTGGCTCAGTATACACTCACCAATGAATGCAGTAACATTTGGATTGATGATTCCACTGGGTAAAAGATGAAAATCGTATTCCACAGAGTCGACAACAACTGTGTGTCCGGCATTATTTCCTCCCTGAAATGTAAGATGGGAAAATTGAACTTGACAATAAATATGACAAGTAACAGATCTCCTTCCAAAGTGAATTAATGATTTCCTGCTGAAATGTCAATATAACTTAAGGAAACCCAAGTATTTGCCATGAATACTTGTTCTCTACAGGTTACAACAGAATGTCTATCGTCTCACCTTTCCTCACTAGAGTACACTTGAGTTATTATTCCTGACAGGATCTGGAAATTAAAGAACTCAGGTTTCTGAAAGACAGGAAGACATATCCCTTCTTAAAAGAGAAAAAAAGTGAAAGAGTACAGGGAACAATTGGTTTATTATTATGTTTTTGACATGATGTAGGACATGTAGCAATCTGATTAATTATCTATAATACTTTATCTAAACAAACAAACAAAAAATCACTAAAATAGAAAAGAGTCATCTGCCCAGTTACCCTAATTTAATGTAGTCACTCATGTAATTCCCATTGTCCTGAGAGAGTGTGAAGCAACTTTGTAACCTGAAATGTGTATTCTTACATGGATTTATCAACCAGGAAATCTCCCAAGTAACTCCCTCAAATGTCGGTTATCCTGAGACCTTAATTTTTAAATTTATAAATCGGTCCTGTGAGTTTAGTTAGTGAGAGATCCCTTGAATCTGCTCATCTCTGGATCAAGTAAAACACCAGGTCAAGGAACTTCTAAAGCTGAGAATCACACTACAAACCCACGGTGAACTTTCTATTCTGTGAAGCTCATGTCTAAATGGTCTATAAAAGTAAAACGTGAAGTCAAATGATAGAAATTAGGTAGAGGAGGCTGAATATTAAGTGACAAGATAATTTTTCTAATGTCTAAGTTTTAAAAGAATGGGAGAAAACACAAATCAATTAATTATAGGTTTATATTGCTTAACTAAAACAAACAAACAAACAACCACCACCCCCACCTGCCCTCCCCCCCAGGATAGGTTTAATTAATTGTTTTACAAACAAAGAGCTGTGAAATAGCAATTCAGTTCAGTCCCTCTTCTAGCCACCTTTCCCTTATTTTGCAAATCAAAGTAGTCACCCCCTCTGGCCACAGTAATTTGATCCCGCAGGGAAACTTGATCCAAGCCTGACCCAATCAAGCTCCTCTCTCTTGGGAATTTGATTTTGAATGGAAAGGAAGGAAGTTAGGAGTTAGAAGCATCTGTCACCTAAGGGAGCATCCTAAAGAGAAAGGCTGCCAGTTCTGGCTGCTGAGATCCCGGGGCTGCCTTTGTCTCCTGTCACTGGAAGCTTGGCTCTTCTTCACACAAACCCCCCTTTTGCTTAAGACCGACTCTTTCCATTGCTTGCAAACAAAGACTCCAAATGATTCACAAAACAAACTCATTGCGACATAGTATGTATACAGTGGGCTCTCTAAATTCACATCCTGCACAGTGATAACTAAAAATAAAAACGATTACCTTCTAAATTTTAATATGTACCCTAACAAGAACAAAATTCTAAAACACAGTACTGCAGGATACAGGGAAGATATGAGTATTTAGTTATTTTGTAACTGTTCTGTTTTACCACATATGCTTTTGCTTCCCAATTAGATTTTAAGCTTAAAACAGATAGAAGACAAGCGTTTTGAATTTTTTTCCATGGCTACAAAGAACCAGAGGTTGTCAAGCCCAACTCTAGAATCAAAGTTTGGATCAGGAAATGTTGATATGTGTAAGTTTCTAACTAAGAAGCTCCGAAGGTCTAAAAAACAAGTTGGGAAGAAAATGAAAGGACCTTGGTCTGAACAATTGACTCCTAATCCTTAATTTAGTTTTCTATACAAACTTAGGTCTTCTTCCCCAAATCACTCACCCATCTGAGCCCCTGCTGTGACAGTGTCCATAACCCTGAAACAATGGTATCTCTTCCAACAGCAGTAGGGACCCCAGTGTAGAGCGAATAATTTCATGCACATAGCCCAGAGACATTTCTCAGGCCACCTAGGCCTCTCTGTGCCTTCTCTTTGTCCTTTTTGCTCTGAATACATGAACACTGTACTGTAATCATACAGCTCAAAATGAAAAACGATCAGGAGGGAAAGAGTTTTTCCTGTAATCCACGATGGGCTGTAGCAGGCAGCAGCCATGCCTCAGACCCCATGCCTTTGAATTACCCCAGCAACCAAAAAAAGAAGGGGTTCCTATTTCTTGTTTAGCGTCTTCAAGCTTCTTAGGAACCTAACGATCTTGAGTCCATGCTAATTTCCTGTGCTGCTTTCTTGGTAAAGGCCATAAGACCTGTGTCTGCCTTTCCAGATGAACCCTTTTACTACTGCACTGCCAAAACTACAACACTTGTCAATCCACAGCAATAAGTTATAAACAAGGATGACTGTTCTTTTGTGAAGACATACATATAACTGCAAGAAGCTTATGACTTCAAAGTACAGCAGGTTACGTTACTACCAATAAGTTGATCAAATTAAACTATTCAACAGTAACCAGACACACTAGATAGGAAGGGAAAACATATACAGGGTATCTGAATTTCTTTTTTAGCAAAGACATCCAAGCGCACTGCTCAGTTATCTTTTAAAGGCTTAAGAGATCCGCTTTACCTTACATTATTATGGTTACCTTTGAATCTCACACACAGGTAAATGTCACACAAGTGATAAAAATCTCAGGTTCCTTGTATTTTATACCTTCAGTTACCATTATGCAACAACGTCTCACAATGAAAGTGGAAAGGGGCGTGGCCTTGGAGGATCTTAGGTTCCTAATTAAGAAACTTGACTCTAGATATCAAACTCTATTATACGCACTTATTGAACAAGGGTCAGATTGCCCTGGTCACAGATGGGCGGATCAGACACAAAACCAAAAAATGCATAAACCAGCGAGGTGATGCAGCTCTTTGTAAATGCTTGATAAAAACTCACCTAATCATTACATTTATGAATATTTTCTTTAAAAAAACACTGAAATTGAACTACAGGTGTCAAGTCAAAAACGTTTTCTCCCACAAATAAAAATCCTTCCTTTACAAAGGTTTTTAAAAGGTTGATACAGATAAAAACCCTGTTTTTTAAAAATTTCATGGGACCTCCCATTTTTTGAAGAATTTTATTATACTGAGTTAAATATTATTAAAAGTTGGTTCAGTGGGTTCAATGTAAAGTACCATCCCATCGTGGCACCAGAGTAGCCATGGGAACTGCCCTCTATTTACTGTTCTTTTCAACTGCTGTCACTAGGCAATACTATATACCTCAATGTCCCTTTTTCCACTGATAACAGTATTCTAATATCACCAATCTTCACTTATTAGTATGTAGCTCATCCACACTAATATTTGGTGTCAAAATCTGACACAGTTCCCAAAGGACAATATAGCTACATATGTATCCATTTACAGTCAGAAAGCTAATAAGTATATATCAATTTACCAGTTCATTCTAGATTTGTTCTAGGCAACAGTTTTTCCTAGAGACACTCGAAACTATCCAGCTAACTCACCCATTCTCATTAACATTTTTTTAAAAAGAATAATACTGGTCAGATATCACTGAGGTGATCTCATAGAACTTAAAAATTTATGCCTCAAAATTTATGCCTCAAGAGATGATGATATATTATGTATACAAACATAATAGGCTTAAATAGTGAAGAACTTGCGACATCCTCATTGACCAAATTTTAAGATCTACTGCCCTCAGCAGAGAAAAACTATTTGCTACAATTGCATGGCATTCAACTGAAATATGCTGAGGAAATACATGAAACAGATACAAATATCAGTTATCTAAGAGATAAGACTTTAACATAAACTATTAAAGCCTTTGAACATAATGGTAAAATGTAAAAAATACTAGTTCAAATACTAAGTAACAAATATTAATGCAAGAGTAGCTGGGGAATCCACCTTAAACTCCTGCCAAGTCAATGAAATTGTCCAAGGGGATGTCAAAATAATTTACCAGAAAGGGTTAAAACTAGTGATTTCAAAGAAATGTCTAGGGGTAAACCAGTCACCCAATAAATAAATATTAAGTTCTACTTCCTCTCTGCCTCACATAGTGCTAAGTGTTATGGAAGAAAACAAAAGGGAACAAGTCCTCTTTTGGAGAAAGCTTATATGCTGGTAAGGAAAGCACAAGAATCCAGGAAAGCAAGACTTCAAGTACAGCACACACCGGTATACACTGATGAGTGTACTTGGGAAATGCTATATAAACAACACGTATAGAAAGCAGCCCTGATAGTAGACACAGAAATAGTAATTGTTATAAACCTGGAAGAACGGTTTACCTTACATGCTAAGTCTCTACCATCTCCAAAATAATGGGAAGTGGTTTGGGAGATAACCCTTTTAGCCGTATAAGGTCCAGGCATTAAGTAACACTTAAGTCATTCCCTTTTGCAATTTCTGATTATTTCAAGGAGAAAGTCTCTGTTTGCTGCTGGTATGTCTTTTACACTTCTTTATCACTTATTAATATAGCTGGTTTCAGAGCCTTCAGCAAATACTAGCCTCTAGCTACAAATTAACATTTTTTCCATTGAGTTTATTTTTATAGCAAGCTTATATATATATATATATATATATATATATATATATATATATATATATATATATATATATATATATATATATATATATATATATATATATCAAATGACAGGATATACTTTCCGTTTATAATTAATTTTAGTTAATATTTTCTCTTTATATTAACTTTAAAAGCCAGGGTGGGAGGGGGGAACAGGAAGAAAGGGAATACTGTTCTAGCTTTTCCTGATCACAGGCAACTTTATGCCTGTCATTGTAACCAAGGCTACCAAGCTTGCTTTCTCCAAGAACAATAAACAAGCCCTTGCTTAAGGCCTGGTATAAACTGCAATAGTTAAAATCTCTGTAGTTTCTACTCAACAAAATAAAGGAAATAAAGTATAATAGTTTACTCTGAGAGGATTTGGGGGGAGGGGGGAAACCAGTAACAGGCTTCCTAACAAAACTACTTTGTGCTGCCAGAAAGCGGTCTTTCTATTCTCATCCTTTAACTCTTTGAAAAACCTGTACTAGTACCCTCTCTGTCCCCACCCTGGCAATACTTGTTTCTGTAACAGCTGTCCACCAGACCATAAGCTCCTTGTGGGCACAATCCCTGCTTTTCTCAGCTTTTTAACTCTGGGGCGAAGTGGTTCCCTTTACATAGATGCCCATTATGTGATTGTTGGATGAACTACGCCTAGATTTGATCCTATACTTCACTCTTCGTTTCTTCTTAAAAGACATATTAATTTAAAATTAAGGCATCAGTAGCGGTTGTCCTTCAATACAAGTCCTACACACTTATTTATGGATCTAAAGTATCTACCGAGTTATAAATAACTCCCTATAAATCCTGCATCTGAAATATAGGTCTTAAGTGTTGTGATGATGAAAATGCCACTAGCTTTGTATCTATTCTTTCCAAAAAGGCATTTTATATATTAAAATATATAGTTAAATGCAACGTCATTCTTCCTTTTAAAAACTGTATTTTATATCAGAAGGAATTCCTTATTTTATGATTCCATTGTTGAAACATGAATACATTATTTATATGCCACTTCTGGGGAAACAGTCTGCATAAAATTTGAGTTTATGGCATGAGCATGACAAAAAAATAATTAAACTCTAACCAAGTACATCTTTTCATTAATATACAAAACTTGAATCATCAAACAAGGCAATTCAAGGTCAAAATGCCTTTCCTAATGTTGACTTTCCCCAGCCCTCTATACACAATTATTAAGAATTTCAACATTCCATATCCTTCAATTTTGTAATCCTGAAGAACCTCATTAAGTAGATATCCGCTTACTAGGGCTGACCAAATGATTTAAAGTTACCAAGGCGAATGAATCACAAGAGATACGCTTAAATCTATTCATTACTCATCTACTTTCACTAACAAGACTAAAAAGAATCCTTCTAATGATGAGCTCTTAAAAGGCACTAGAAGAATATAAATATTTTAGAATTATAGAAGGAAGATAGTAAGTCAAAAGTTTACAGATAAGAAAAGCCTACCTAACAAGTCTGCTCATCTGTCTCTCCTCGATCTTCAGCTAACATTTTAAAGCCAAAACTTGGCTCCTTCTCAATCACTTCTTTCTAGACTTTCCAAGGGCATCAGAGCAGATTGGTCCACGACTTCCTTCAAGACTACTTTCACAGTAACATAGCAATACCTCCGATCTACAAACTAATTCTACTATTTTTCAAAGGGCTATTAAAACTAGGATCTTTTCTAATAAATGCTACAATGATTACATTCCCAAAACCTTCTCACAACCCATCATGTAGCTCAACCTTACTACTACTATTTGCAAGAAAGAAAGATGGTCAGGAATGACAGTGAAGGAGACAAACGGGCCTCAGTCTCTCCCCGCTTCTCCCCAGGCAGACAGAGTCAGGTATTCTCATGCTTCTTTCCCCACAGTATGGCCAGATCCGATTTGAAGACAAAAGGTGACGGCTGGGCTCTGGAGCAGCTAGCTCCTAAGGCAGCATGGGACAGCATTTCAATGGCAACACCTTCAGGTGCATTATTAAGTAAGGTATGTGTGCTGCCAGAGGTAGAAGGATAGAAAGAAGGTTGGAATGCAGGGAGAGCTGGTGCTGGTGGTCTAGGGGTAATCATAAGGGCCAATTAGGCCACAGCTATCTTAGCTGAGGAATGGGCGGCGTGGATTTCTGCATGCAGCAAAGCGAGATAAGTCAGAATATTTACATTGAGCTTTTTATGTACCTTATTTCTGCATGCTCAAATGGTGTTAATTCAGTTTTAGGGAGAAAGCTTCGAAGCAAGTGGGCCTAGTAACTTGTTAGAACATACTCAGCATGGCATCATCATATTGTGCCATCCTGTGTTCATGAAGAAATATTCTGCGACCAAAACAGACAGCAGTTAACTTCAAATATTACATTACAATTCGTTGTGAAAGCGGGTATTGCTCAACTATTTCGAATTTTGAAATTGGTAATAGTTTATCTAGAAGCCTTTACAAAGGCCTAGCCTCTGGGCTGCTTCAAAGCAAACGACAAATAGGAAGAAAGCTTACACCGAAAACCACGTGTCTCCCGGTAGGAAGTACATTCAATTTCCCGAAAGTTCACTTTCGATGTGAGTGTAACAATGTAAACATCACCAAACACCAGATTTGACATTCATGTATTTACTTGCCTCACTCGTCAAAGAACCGGGATTCTGTCCTCTGGGACCAACAAGTAAAAATAACGTCCCCTTAATAGTAGTACACAGGGTACAGAGCAAAAAAAATAATAATAATAAAACGGGGCCATGAAACAGTCCAAAACACTGAGGTGCGTTCTCATGTCAACAAAGTGGACCGGAGGAGGCAAAGGTCTGCAAGCCCTGGGCCTGCAGGTGGAGGAACGGTGAGCGGATTTCAGGGCGTTTCGGGACAATCCATTCCCACCTGATCTCCCTGGGTGGGTGGGTGATGGGATGAGGAAGAGGCCGAGTCGGTCTCCGCCCGGAGTGGAGAGCAGGCCTCGGGCGGTAGCTCCTCAAACTCGGACCGTCTCCCATCCCCACCCCGTCGCCAGTCCCGCAGCTGAGCACTGGTCCCCAGACCGAGAGCTACTCCCCAGGCATCGCGCATCTCTCCCAGGTTCCCGGTCAGCCTGCATTTTCCTCCAGAGCCACCCCAACCCCGCAGCCCAAGACCCCAGGTCAGGGGTCTCTGCCCTCCCGCCATTTCTCCACGTCGCCGTGGCTCACAGCCAGAGGAGAGAAGCTCAAGGTGACACTTTATCTTGGACGGAAGAGCCGGGCTCTGGGCCCGAGCTCCCGGGCCGGCTTCACATCAGAGCCCGGTCGCCTCACCTGGCAGCGGCACACGATGTCGGCGTCCTGCGCCAGCAGATCCACCACCTTCCCTTTGCCTTCGTCGCCCCACTGCGCGCCGAGCACTACCGTTACCCGGTTCCCTCCGGGCCGCGCCCTGGGACGGCCGCAGTCGCCGTTGGGCAGGGAAGATGCCGCCGCGTTGGTCTCGGCGAACGCCATGGCTCCAGTGACGCGAGGAGAAGCCGAGGGAGGCGAGGAGTGCGCCAACCGAACCGCTCTGCGGCCGCCAGCCACATGCAGAGGAAGAAGGAGCCAGAGGCAGCCCCGCCCCCGCCCCCCAGCCAGGCCCCGCCCCGCCCCGCGCCACAGCCCACTCGAGGGGGAACCAAGGCTGCCCAGCGCAGGCCAGCTTCCACAGCACCACCCGGAGAAAGAAGCCCTGGTGGTGGCAAACCACCGCCACCCGGACCGAGGCCGAGCCCCTTCCACGACCTGGCGCGCCCCTCCAGCGCGAACCCCCAAAGCGCAAGGGGGCAGGGGAGGGACTTCGAGCGTGCTTCAGCCTCAATGCCCCGCCTACCCGCCCTTCCTCCCGCTTTTCAAACAGGAGAGGCGCGGAGGTGCGTGCTCGAGCGTGGGACTACAACTCCCGGCATGCAACGCTCTGAGCCGAAGTGACATATCCTGGGGCCATAGTGTCTGCCATGTGCAGGTTTCAGTCTCTGAAAGCGTTCATTTTAAAATTATTTTTTAATGATTTGTTTTTATTAAGGGATGCTATAGAGTGTAAAACTTAGGAAGGATGGAGTTTCATAACACAGTGGTATGGATTTGGAACATATAGGTTTAGAATTGGAAAGTAAAGTTCTAAAAGTAAGAGCAGAGATAGGAAGAGGGATCAAAAAAGGGCAAACTCTAAAGTTAAGCATTCAGGTAGAGGACATTAGCCGTGAAAATCTAGAGATCAAGTAGACTCCTAACTCTTCTTGTTTATCGCATTAGTAACAGATTCAGGGAGGAGGAATGAATTACTGATGTTGAACGAGGTCTAACAATTAAGTTCATGAACTTGTTGCGATGATGTTGCTAACCTTTTTTGGTATCAGAGAGGTTATTCATTATGAATTTGTATAAACTGGACAAACAGTTAATCAAGTTTACTATTTGGAAGTGCTGAAAAGGCTACTTGAAAAAGTTCCATGACCTGAACTTTTTGCCAACAATTCATGGCTCTTGCATCACAACAATGCACCAGCTCACCGGCACTGTCTGTGAGGGAGATTTTAGCCAGTAAACAACTGTATTGGAACACCCGCCCTACTCGACTGATCTGGCCCCCAGTGACTTCTTTCTTTACCCAAAGAAAAAGGAAATATTGAAAGGAAGACATTTTGATGACATTCAGGACATCAAAGGTAATATGACAATAGCTCTGATGGCCATTCCAGATAAAGAGTTCCAAAATTGCTTTGAAAGGTGAACTAGGTGCTGGCATTGGTGCATAGCTTCCCAAGGGGAGTACGTCAAAGGTGGCCATAGTGATATTCAGCAATGAGGTATGCAACACTTTTTCTAGGATGAGTTCGCAAATTTAATTGTCATACCTCGTACAGTAAATGCCAGCTCCTATGGTGCACTTAGTTCTTTTCCCACAACCATATAAGGTAGGTAATACATCCTTATTTTACAGGATTTAAGAACTTAACTTGCTCTAGTGATGGCTGAATTGATACCTAGGCAGTCTGAGTCCAGAGCACAGGCCCTTTCTGTATATTCCACTCCTCTTAGTGTTTCAGTTGCCACTAGATTCCGGAGTATACGTACTGCTGCTCTAATGCTCTTCCAACTGTAACTCATTAATTATGACATCTAATGCTGATATAGTTACTTCGGGGAAAAAGTGGGACTAGGATGGCATTAAAGGTAGTGTCTCCCAAATCATGTATATACAATCACTTTCTCTAATGGTTCCTAGATGGGATTTTAGTATTTTACTGTCTTAATTCAATGACTCATTACATCAGTAAACATTGAAAACCTACTATAAACAGACTGCTGGGCACTGATGACATAAGAAGGAATAAAGATACAAATGCAGCCATCAGTGATTCCGATTATTTGGTCTACCAACAAGTAAACAGATTAATTATACTACAGGACAACTTTGTTGCTTATCTTGGCTTTATCACAAGATTACAAACCCCTTTGTAAATCAGAATGCTGTCCTGCATCTTTGCACTAAAGCGCAGGAGGTAGTGTTGGGCATACAGTAAGTGCTCAATAAGCACACATTACTGTTCATTTCTGTTCAACTTAAAAATCATTTCTGGAGTACCTGTTCCCTGGAAAGCACTGCCAGATAAGTATTTGCTATTTGCGGTAGTTGTATACAAGATAAAGCTAAAAGATAAACTAATTTAAAAGTTTCACCTTCATTCAGCCAACTTAGAGTTTCCAAAGTGGTTTTGCTATTTTACTCCAAAAAAACCATGGTTCCGCCTTTCCTAAAATCTGCTTCAGATTTTCGACTCCAACAACTGGAATTCGCAGCCGCCTAAGGAGCGCAGGGTGTGGCGCGCCCTGGCACGCACGCGCACTTGTCCTTCCGTGTGAGCAGGCCCGACCTTGGTCCGCGGCGCCAGCGCCCCGGCTCCTCCAGCCACAGGCTCCGCTGGCGCCCCCCAGGCAGCGCGAGGCCAGGGCCCGCACGACTTGAACGGTTGAGCAGAGTACGTGGCGTCATGTCAGCCCAAGGGGTGTCGGTGCTGTTATCGTGGCTGAGTTGCTGTGGCTGGGCTCTGTGGAGGTAGAAACTCCAGTCGCGGACAGGGGCCCCGGGCGGGGGTCGCCCCCGGGACCTAACAGATGGGGGCCCCATCCCTGCGCCTCAGTGTCAGAAGCCACCTGCCAGTGCAGACTGCCTCGTCTAGTATCAGCAAACCGCCGCCCCAGTCCCAGTCTCATTCAATGAATGAGAGTGGAAAATGAGGGGACGCTGTTAGGATGCTGTTTTAGGGTTGTGGTGACTTCACATCGCTGTCCTCTGGACAGCTGAGTCCCTATGATTCCTTAAACTCGTTTCCTCCCATTGCATTCTGCTTTTGCCAGAGAGGAGAAGAGCAAATGAGAACCAAAAGGTTGCCACCAGAGATTGGGGATTGGAGGAGCGGGGGTGGGGGGGGGTGTTACGGGGGCTGAGGTTTAAAGGAGGAGGAGGAAAGAGACTCGGGTAGCGAATAAGCTTGGAGCCTGGAAATGCCCCCTGGGGGGTGTTACGGGGGGACACTACACTAGAATAACTAGGTACGTTGTTGATGGTGTGGCTGAATGATTTGTGAGAGTGCGTTATAAAATGCCAACACTGTACAAATGTAAGGACGTGATGCCTGTATAAAGTGAGTTGATTTGGGGAACAAGAACTTTAAAAGTTCTGAGATCCTCAATGCAAATTGACTTTCGTTTGGTACTCAGTAACTGCTGGGTTGCAAAGTGTTTCGAAATATTTTAGGAAGATTTTCAACGTAGGTTAAAAGACGGATGATTAACCAGCAAAATCACATTCTGTGAATATTCTGTTGAACGGAGGCTTTGCTATAACAATAATTATTACCCTCTAACATTAAAATGTAAGGATACCAACGATAAATCAAACCATTATAGAGGTTTCAGACTGAAGGGATCCAAGCTACCTCACTGGACAGATGGAGGGGTCAAATAGTAATTCTCCATTGGAAAGATAGCTGAAAGAGTGAGAAAGAGCAAAACTGTAGCATTCTGACAGAATTTTGTGAGCCTTCATTTTCTTCTCTATAAAATAAAGATAAGAAAACCTCTCTCCTTGGGGTGGTTGTGAGGCTTGAATACAATCATGTATTTAAAGTTCTCAGCTCATGCCTGGCAAATAATGGATCGATAAATCATGGTAGCTGATATTAAGAATGGTCTGTGAACTCAGGGAGTTTGTAAACTTTGTTAAGTTGTATACCAGAGGTCACCAAACTTTTCTGTAAAGGACCAGATAGTAAATATTTTAGGAGGTGAGTTTCATCTGTAGAGTTTTCTAATAAGATCATCTTTGCATACACAGGATAAATCTCACTTGGCCATGGTTCATCTCTTTACACAATGTTGTATTCAATTTGCAGATATTTTCTGCAGGATTTTTATGTCTATAGTTTTCTTTTTCATAATGTCTTACTTTGGTTTTGATATCAGTGTTACACCGGATTTACAAAATGAGTTGGAGAGTATCATCTGGTTTTCAGGTCTTTGGAAGAATTTGTATAAGACTCGGATAATTTGTTCCTTGAAACCTGTGATAGGACTCATATATAAAACCCCTGAACCCCATGTGTTAGGGGCGATTTTAAACTGCTTCACATCTTTTAATGGCTATAGCATTATGTAGGCCTTTTATTTCTTCTTGAGTCAGTTTTGGTAGTACATATTAAAATGTCTATTTCATGTAATTATCCAAAATAGTCACATAATTGAAAATATTTCCTTATCTTTTTGCTCTTCGTTTTTTCTGTAATTATGGTCCGTTTTCGTTAATGTTGTTTAGTTGTCTCTTCTTTCTCTTTTTTGTCCTGATCTGTCTTGTCATAAGGCATGTCTGTTTTAGTCATCTTTGTATTTTTGTTTTCTATTGATTTCTGTTATCATTTTTATCTCTTTTCTTCTATTTTCTTTTTTTTTTTTAATTTTTTTTTTTTTTTAGCTGAGCCATCCTGCTACCTATTGGCAGCTCAGCGGCTGCTCAGCTCGGGCTGGACTCGAACTGCTGTTGCTCAGAGCTCAAACTTCTTGAGCGAGCTCTTAACCAACTGAGCCACTCGGCCGGCCCTCTTTTCTTCTATTTTCTTTGGCCTTATTCTGATACTTTCTCTAACATCTTAAGCCAGAATCTTAGCTAATAGCTTGTGGTCTTTATTGTTGTCTAATATGACATTTAAAGATATTAATGTGCCATACAGTACTGCTTTGCTGTATCCCATAAAAAATGATATGCACTCTTTTATCATTCACTTCTCAATAGTTTTAACTTTTATTGTGATTTCTTCTATAATTCTTGAATTATTTAGCAGTTTGTTTTTTAACTCAAATTTGTAAAGAATTTCAGGGCCAGCCGAGTGGCTCAGTTGGTTAAGAGCGCAAGCTCTGAGCAACAGGGTCACAAGTTCGATTCTCACATGGGCCAGTGAGTTGCGCCAGAGCTGAGCGGCCACTGAGCTGCCAACAGGTGTCAGGATGACTCAGCTGGGGAGAGCACATGCTCCTAACAACAAAGTTGCCAGTTCAACTCCCGCATGGGATGGTGGGCTGCGCCCACCCACAACTATCAGGTTGTTGGGAAAGTCATGATGTATTTTGTCTATGTTTTCAAAGGTCATTTATTTCTATAAAGAACAAAGATCAATCAATGATATATTGCCTGTTTTGTTCAATAACCTTTTGCCATCTTTCAGTGAGCTTCATAATTCCTCGTTCATAGAAGGACCTGTCTTTATTTGCAAAAAACTGAACAAGGTGCTGATTTACAGCCTCATCTGAATTGAACGTTACACCATGCAAGGAGTTTTGAAGAGAGCGAAACAAGTGGCAGTCTGAAGGCGCAGGCTCAGGCGAGTATGGTGGGTGTGGCAACACATCCCGTTCAAGCTCCAGTAATTTTTGACAGTTGAATAAACTTGTGTGTGGTCTTGCGCTGTCGCAATGGAACACAACTCCTTTACAATTAACAAGCTCTGGACGTTTCTGGATGATGGATTCGTTCAAACTGTCCAATTGCTGACAGTACACATTCAAACTGATTGTTTGGTTCCTTGGTAGGAGCTCAAAAAACACGACATCTTTAAAACCCCACCACACTGAGAGCATAACCTTCCTCTGATTCGATATCGTTTGAGGTGAATCGTCACGTTGGGACCAAGACTGTTTGTGCACTACATTGTTGTAAACAATCCACTTCTCATCACCAGTTATCAGTCGCTTCAAAAAAGGATCGTTTTCCTCACGTTTAATGAGTATATTACAGATGTTCATATGCACCGGCAAATGAACTTCTTTGAGTTCATGCAGAACCCCAAATATCGAGCTTGCTTACGTATCCCTGCTTCTTCAGGTGGTCGTGAATGCTTGAATGATGGATGTTCAATGTTTCTGCAGTCTCTCATGTCGTGTAACATGGGTTTGACTCGATCAATGCCTTTATTTTGTCGTCATCAACCTCAGTGGGCCTCCCTGACTGAGGAGCATCGTTGAGATCAAAATTACCAGCACGGAATTTCGTGAACCATCATTGGCACTGATGTTCTTGTAGAGCATTGTCACTGTAAACTTTATGCAACTTTTCACAAGTTTAACACGTTCTTCCCTTTATGGAAGTAAAACAGTAACATATGGCAAAAATGCACAGTTTGGTCTTCCATCTTCAACTTATTGTAAAATCTCCAAACTCAACCAAATCACCCAATTTTTTTAAAAAATGAAGCTAGAACTGTCAGCTGTCAAATGACATAGCAATAACATGGTTGCGAATGACTCTAGTACTTCCAAAAATGAACTACTGCCAACTGGTGCAAACATGCGTCATGACTTTTCCGACACCCAATAAGATTGAACACGGCACCTTCAGCTGAGCTGCCCTGAGCTGCCTCCGGGAAGCTGGATTGCTCAGTGGTTAGAGCATGCACTCTTAGCAACAAGGTTTCCGGTTCGACTCCCACATGGGATGGTGGGCTATGCTCACCTGTAACTAAGATTGAACATGGCAACTTGAGCTGAGTGGCTACGGGCAGTCTGATGGCAAATGGACTTGGAGCTGAGCTAGCTGCGCCCTCCACAACTAAGACTGAAGGACAACAACTTGGCTGTTCCCCTTCCCTAATTCCCCAACATTGTTCCCCTTCTCCAATTCCCCCAATGAAATCTTTAAAAACAAAAATTGTAAAGATGATCTTTTTGTTGATAATGTCTCCATTAATTGTACTATAATCAAAGAGCATGGTCCACATGATACCTGTGTGAAATTTGAAATTTGTTGAGACTTGCTTTATGACCTAATAGATTATTAGTTTTCATAAATGTTCCATGTGTGCTTGAAAAGAATGTGTTTTCTCATGCTCTGTTTGTTCTTTTGGGTCACACTTTATAATGGAGTGATCTTTGTCCTTGAAAATACTTTTTGTCTCAAAGTCTTTTTTGTCTTATAGTAATACAGAGGGTGCCAAAAAATTTTATACACATTTTAAGAAAGGAAAAACCTGTATTAAAATTATAATAATATATACCAATAAAAAAATGAATACAAGTCAGGTGTACACATTTTTTTGGCACCCCCGTATATTCAATGGGGCTTGGAGTTTCTGTGGGAAGAATCTTATACTTCCTACAATATATGGTTCAGCTTAACGACTTTTCAATTTATGATTTTTCAACTTTATGAGAGTGTGAAAACGATATACATACTAAATTACATGAGATATTCAACACTTTATTATAAAATAGGCTTTGAGACAGATGATCATGCCCAACTGTAGGCTAATGTAAGTTTTTTGAGCGCGTTTAAAGTCGACTAGGTTAAGCTGCTAGGCATTCAGTAGGTTAGGTGTATGGAATGCATTTTTTAATTACAGTATTTTCAACTTACAATGTGTCTATCAAGACATAAACCCCCTGTAAACCGAGGAGCATCAGCACTTCTCGTTCTAGTGTCTTCAGGTACTGAGCAAACCCAAACACCCTTTGAGCGGTGAGTAGAGTTCACTGATAGCCTCAGTTGTAGCCCTGAGTACGCTTTCCAGGAAGGTTCTTGGGCAGAAGCATAAAGCTCTTGACAGCCCAGGCATGCCTTGACCATGTATAGAATCCCTATTCTCTGGAAGAGAAATTAGTTTTAATATTCATATTTGACCTTTTCCTCCACAGGTATTACACTAACATCCCAAACTACCAAATTTTTAGTACCAGAACTGCTGTAAGTGTTTACTTTTTTTTTAAATTATAGTTAAGTATTAATTTCCTTTACCTAGAGCAGAGATCAGAGTTCATCATACCCAGTCATATAGTACAGTATCATTCTTTTATTTGTATTTAATTTTCTTCATTTCATTTACCTTCCTAATATAGATTCCCTCTCCAATAAATGTCCTTAAATATGTATGTAGCAAAAATAGGTAGTGTTGTTTTGAGTGTTTTTGTGATTTTTTTTATTGTATTTTAAAAATTATTTTTTATTGTGAAATACACATTTTTTAGAATTAGTTTCAGCTGTACAACACAGTGCAGTAGTTATACTTTTTACCCCTCGAGGTGACAACCCCCCTCCCCCAATCCTGTTTTTGTGATTTAATATTCATAAAATTGTGTCATGAAACAAATAGGATGACCATGTCTCATTCATCTTTATTTTTGTTTTGTTTTTTTATCCACAGAACCTACTGGCATATCAGTAACCTACCTACATACTTAATAGATTATTGTTGAAATAAAATAAAAATCTTAATGTTTTGGGGGGAGACTACTGAAGTGTGTCCTAGAAACGTTACTTTTCCTTTGTCATATTACTTTGTATAATTTCAAAAGAATCCAATTTTAGTTATTCTTTCTTTAAATAATAAGGACCCAGAAAATTGAACCCTACATCTGAACACTGAGATGAAAATTTTTGCATCAGATTTTATTGTTTGAACTATTTTACCTTCTTTTTTAGATTACGTTAGAGTATGAAGGAACATTATTTTCTGAGTGGAGCGTGCCAACAGCTTGTTCTGTCAAAAATAAACGGTAAGCTTTTTACCATGAATGTCAATATGCCGAGGGTGATAAAAATATATATATACAAGTGTACACTTTGGTCAGCGTTGCTCAAGCAGTAGTTCGCCATAATCAGAAGTGTCTGGAAGCTGACGGTAACCACTTTGAGGACCTCTTGTAATTGCACAAGTCAAATGTGACTTGTATTCATCTTTTGTTATCGGTATATATTGAGTATTACAATTTTAATAGTTTTTTCTTAAAATGTGTATATATTTTGTTGGCACCCTCTGTATGTGTGTATTTACTCATAACAAAGCATTCATGCAGACATTCAGATTCAATCCTGTGATTTAATGTAAATTTCTTCCCATTAAATAGATGTGAAAAGAAAAACAAAATCACTATGAACATAGAAGGAAAATGTTGCTATATTCTTTATTTTCTTAATAGCACACAATTGAAGTTTTTAGGCTTAAAAAGTAGTAGGGAAATTTTCATTAATCTCATATGCATCTTTACATGTTTCTCCTTTCTTGTTCTTTTAAAATGCTAGCTCACCCAAGACAGAACTGCGGTGTCCTTCTCCTGGTGTTCATACCGTAAGACCGATAGTCAAAGGCCCAGTAAGATGATTTTAATAACTTATTGAACTTGAAAAATCACCTGTGTTACCTTTTATTTTGCCTTTTTTGAGCTTTCAACTTAATCTAATCTGTTTTAAATAGTATAAGTTGTCACTCTAAATAAGAGCTATTTTAAAATTATTGTATGTCATTGATTTTTAGATATGTCTCATAGCAAAGTATAAGTTATGAAATGATATATGGTTTTTACCTTAACTGTTTTATTAGTAAGTATGTTAAAGCTCAAGTTACCACCTTAATGATAAAAGTACTCCCAGCTTAGTGGGTTTCATGTCATATCCTCGCTCCTAAGATTAAAGCCATTTCGAGCAGATTTGTTTTTACTCCACGATATTTTCATCAATTCAAGAAAGCATATGTGAATGCAAATAACAAGAGTGATGTTGAATCCTCTCTAGTTTAAAAAAAAAAGTAAAGCATTTTCAAACATTGACATTTTATTAATTAGTAACAAAGTACTGGCCACACATCTCACGGCTGATGTTCCCACACAAATATCAAAAGCCACTGCTATAGAGACTCCATGTGACAAATCCTGCCTTTACTTTGGGGCTTATGCCTTCTTTTTTCATTCATAATCTTTATTTCAGGGAACAAGTAGATAGAGTGATGTGGGAGAGGCCAGGTGAATTAATTAATTCAGTTTTCAATCCCTATAGGTTGAAAACTATTTGAATTTGGCTTTTTGAGCTTATGAGTGTTTACCAGTTTCATAAACACAATTCCTGAGGAAGTAAAGGATTCCTTTCACTTTTGTTGTATGTTGGAAGCCCATGTGTAATGTCATATATTGTTAAAAAATGCACACAGAAATACCTGCATATATAGGACCCTATTTGTCATTTATGTATAGTGTCATCAGATCTTGTAACCTTTAAGGGGGTGCATGTGACTTTTGAAATACACTCCAAAGCACTTAGTTATAACAACCAAAAACATCTCCAGGAATTGCCAACTATTCCCTGGTGAGCAAAATCACCCCTGGTTGAGAAAAATTAAAGAAGAAAATTAATTGAATTGTATTTCAGTGAGGAAGACTGTGTAGGAAAACTCACTATTTTCCTGTATACAATCACAGAGAACACTTCTGTGACAAATTTTTTTTGGGGGGCGGGGTGTTCTACACTGACCAGTTCTCTAACACCAGGTGGGTGTCCTACCATTCTTCATGAGGCTACCATCACATCCCTCAAGTCAAGGGCTCAGTCCCACAAGACTGCCCCCACTTCGGAGGCCAATCCCAGGTTGTCACCTGTACTTCTGACTGACTGGCTATAAATCCAGGTTCCCACAACCTTCTCCTCAGGTTCAATAATTTGCTGGAACAGCTCACAGAACTCAGAGAAACATTTATATTTACCAGTTATAATAAAGGCTATAATAAAGGACACAGATGAACAGGCAGATGACGTGGTACAGAGGGTAAGGTCTAGAAGGACCCTGAGCACAGAAGCTTCTGTCCCCGTGGGCTTGGGGTGCATCACCCTGCCTGCATAAGGATGTGTCAACCAACCCAGAAGCTCTGGAATCCCATACTTTAGGAATTTTTTATGGAGGCTTCATTACACAGGCATCATTGATTACTAACTCATTTTCCAACCCCTCGCCCCTCGCCCCTCTCCAGAGGATGGGAAGTTGACCAGAAATTTCCAAGCTTCTAATCATGGCTTGGTATTTCTAGTGACCAGTTCCCATCCAGGAGCCCACGAAGAGTCACCACATTAGAACAAAAGCGATTTAGGAACTCTGGGTCAGACATTCCTGTCATTCGGGAAATCACGATGGCTTTAGAAGCTCTGTTTCAGGAACTGAGGTCAAAGACAAAATATTAGCAGGAGCTGGGGGCAAAGATATATATATAATTGTTATTATTTTGCAAGGACAAATATGTTAGAAACAGTAAGCCATCCAAATTTGTCACTCATGTTAGTAAATTCTTAAGTACAGAGAGTATCTAAAGAATTAAAGCAGTATTATATGAAAATTTATTAGTTCTCTTCTGAAATTTATTCATTACGCTTTCTCTAATCTTAGATAACTTAGTTCGTCTAGGACTTTTATGCTTGTATCCAAATTTGTATTTATTTTAAAGTTAATATATCATACTTTCTTTTGGTATTTATTTTAGGATTTAGAAGAAGAACGCTATTTATCTGTGGAGAGTTCTCATATTTGCTTCCTGTGGTGTTATAGCGTCATGTAAGTAATGCAATATTGAATACAAAGGTAATAAATACTTTTTAATAGTCTTTAGCTTTAAGTTTAAATTAACCACAAATAGATTACATACATTATAGTTTCCGTATAAGCTTTCATTCACCAATCAAGATATCTTTAAATATACTGCCAATATTGCACAAACAATAAAAGTAACAATGGCAACCACTATTTGAACCACTATATTGCTTCTACATATTCATACTTTATATAAATTATCTCTCAATTTTCATAATAACCATAAATGTAAGTATTATTATCTTTATTTTATAAACGAGGAAATGTAAGCCTAGATGGGTTAAATAGTTTGGACAAAGATATACAGCCATTCAAAGATAACATTGGGATTTGATTCTGGTTTTTCTACAAGGCTCTTTTATTTCCATTATATATGTTAAATTCCAGAAGGATTTTCTTTGTCTTAGATAGCTCTTCAAACCCATTGTAACATGAGAGTGAATGAATATAACTAAGAAGGGAAAACTGGTACAAGGAAAAATAATTAACTGCATTATAAAATCATTCAATAAGTGAAAAACAAATCAGAATATTTTTTAGTATCATAGTCAAGGCAATAGTCAAAGCACGATGTAGGATATAAAGAGCTATTTTATGTGGCCCCTGCTCTCCAGATGACTGCCATGCACCTACTTCTTTTTATCTACCTAACATCCCTGTCTTTGGAGGAACCATCCCTCCCTTACACTGTGGTTTATATGGTACTAACTCTATAACCCCACCTTTCACTGGCCACAGCGATTAATTGAGCATTGGCACATGACGCAGGCAGAACTGATCAGAATACTCATGTCTTCAATAAGGCCTGGCTGTTGCTGATCGTTTCATTGTCCTGGTTCACATGGTCCCTTAAAGAGATGGCTCTGCAGTTTATGTGCAATTTTTGGAGTGAAGGTCCTGATAACTAGATTTCATGAGCCCCTCCAGAAGGACACGTTTGGCCATTCCTCTCCAAATCACGGCCAACTTCCCAGAGTCTTACCAAGAAGCAAGAGCTGAGTCTCCGCTCCTCGTGAAACCAGCAGGCGTCTTTCTGGTTGGGAGGTTCAGACATGCCAGCCCCCGCTTTCCCCCTGTAGGTTTTGAACCAGTTGAGAAACAGACAAGGGAAAATTGGGGGGGGGGGAAATCCTGGTACAGCTGAATTGGAGAAAAGAACCTGGCTCTGGGGCCAAATGGGCTACTTTCTACTTCCCCCAAAGAGAGGCGTGGGCACCATCGGATTGGAGCATCTTCCGAGAAAGCATATGCAGCCAGTTTCATGAGTTTCCAGTCTCACTCACACACGCTGAGCCCCAAGAGCTGGTGAGAGCAATGGGCCCCTCACACTGGCCTGATCCAGATATGTTCCCTCCAAGAAAGCAAAAACAGAAGAAGCACCTACCCAAAGGGGCAGGTTAGCCGAAAAGAGAGAACTCAGGAAAACTTAAGCGTTTTTCTGTTACAAACAAGTAGGTTGTAAAAATGCCCACAATGTATCACCTGTAAAAACACCATCTAAAGAATAAAAATGAAACTGACACCCATGTATCCATCATCATCTTTTTTTCTACATGAATAATTAGTTTTCTCATATGTATTTATTGAGCAATCTATTTATCCACAGTGCCTGCTCTGTCATAGGTCAATTTTCCATGTATTCATGGGTTTCTTTCCAGGCTGGCTGTTCTGTTCAGCTGATCTCTTTGTCTATACTTGAATACATTCTACATTATATTTATTATGATAACTTTATTTTTTAAATCTTTTTATTTTTTATTTTTATTAGTTTCAGGTGTACAAAACAATGCAATAGTTATACATTTCACCCTATTTTTAAAATCTTGATAACTGATAGTGTAAGTATCCATCCCACTCTGATCCTAACTCTTGTCCTTCCTCAGGAATCTCTTGTTTTGGGCCTATTTTTTCTCCCTGTGAATTTTTGGAATTGTTTTGTCAAATTCCACCAACAAACCTAGTAGGGATTTTAATAATTTGTCTAAATATTTTAATCAATTTGGAGAGTCTTTCTACTCAACAACAATATGTAATCCTCCATTTATTCAGGTCTTTTCACATGTTTTTTGCTGCTATTATAGTCAGAGTTTTAAAACTGCATTTTCTACCCGACCTTGCTGTTGTATAGAATATAGTTCACTTTTGAATATTGATTTTCATATTCAGCAATCTGCTAAATTCTTATATTGATTCAAACTTATTTTTATATTCTCTAGGAATTTTTATAAATCATGTCACCTGAAAATTAGATTCATTCTTTTCTAATAGTATGCCTTTTATTCCTTTTTTTTTTTTTCCTTACTGCATGGCTAGAACACAACGTTTCCTAGAAGGGTGATCACAGGCCACCTTGTCTTATTTCTGATCTTAAAAGGGAGGCTCTCATCATTTCACTGTTTTGCATAATATTTGTTACAGGTAACAAGTTAACTTTTACCCAGTTAAAGGAAGTTTCCTTCTATTTCAAGTTAGCAGTGAATTTTTCTTATGAATTGATGTTCAAAATTATTTAAAGTTCTCTCCGCTTCTACTTAAAAGTTCATATGGGTTTTCTCCATTACTATGTTAATCTGGTAAATAATAGTTATTAACATTTCAATATTAAACTAATCTTATATTTCTGGAATAACCCAACTTGATCTTGATGAATTAGCTTTCATATATTGATGGATTTTGTTTGTGAATATTGCATTAGTTTTTTTGTGTGTGAATATTCATGAGTGGGACTGGCCTGTGACTGTATTCCCCTTATAACATCCTTTTCAACTTTTGGTAGCAAAACTATGTTAGAGTCATCATATAAGTTAGTAGTCATTCTTTTCTTTTCTCTGAGAGATTTTGTGTAAGATTAGAAATATATGTTCCTTGAGTATCTGATAGAAACTGGCATAGAAATCTACTCGAATCTGGATTTGTGTATGTGGTGGGGGAGAGATTTCTTAACTATTAATTCAATTAATTTAATGGTGATTGTGCTATTTTGGAGTTCTAATTTTTGTAAACTCTATTTGTACATAGGTTTTTTTCTAGGAATTTATCCATGTCTTCAGTTAGCAATTTTAGTATAAATTTCAATGTCATAAAGTTGTCTATAATATCCTCTTATATTTGTGTGATCTCTGAGGTAGTATTAGTTATGCCTCTTTTAACATGTCTAACATTTCTTATTTGTGCCCACCATTCTGTTTCTTTGGGGTCTGTTATTGGAAGTTTACCATATTCCTTTGGTGGAGGCATGTGTCCCCATAGCCTTAGGTAGGTATCTGTACATTTGAAGAAGCTGTCATTTCTCCCAGTCTTTAGAGACTCATTTCACTAAGGAAAGACCTTCATCTGTATGTGCGGGCACACTGGAGCCTGCTGTGACCCCAGGTCTACTGGCGTAGGGTACCAAGCGTAGGGGCTTGTGTTGGCTCTGCGTCCAGGAGGGCACGCTGTCTTGCTGGCTTAGGCCACGTGGACAAACTCATGGTTTTAGGTTAGTGCTGTGGAGTGTCCCCAGTGACTTCAGGAGCTGTTAGGGTCCTCAGTAGAGCCTCCAGGTCCAGTGGCTAGAGACCAGAGCAGGCAGTGGCAGTGGCCCACGCCAGTGGCATACACACACTAGGCTGTGGCGACCAGCTGTAGGTCTCTGTGTACTGGCAGGGAGGGTTGCAGACACACACATTGTGCTGCGGGCCAGGGCCAGTAGCGAAGGCCAGGCCAAGTGCAGGCACAGCAGCAGCTGAGCAGACCCCTCACTATCGCTGTGGGGTCTCTTCATGGCTGCCGGCATGGCAATGGAGGCCCGTGAGAGGACTTGTGCCGAAGGGGTACAAGCGCATAACTGGAGTAGCCAGACGCAGGTGAGTCCAGCAGGGCAGACTAGTGGCAGGAGACTGGCTCAGATCCAGGCCCACAAACAACCGTGGGGGCCTTGGCTGCTGAGGCTCCCTCCCATGACTGCAGGGTCTCAGCTCAGGAGCACAAGGAGGCCAGTAATGGGAGGTGGACCAGGACCAGGGGCAAGCAGGTGCCCAGCCGGGGGAGCAAGCCCGTGTGCCCCCACGGTGGTGGGATCAGCCATGGGTTTTCGGTTGGCATCTTGCACTGCGCAGCAGACACCTGTGGGATGAAAGCCGGTGACCTCGGCAGGGGATCCGTGCTGGCCATTGGTTTCTTCAGCCGCAGAAGCCGCTGGGTTCTCTGCAGAGCTGGTCACCGGGACTCACGGCTGGCCACACTGTGTGGCCGATGCCGGTGGTCCCTGCCCTTCTGCCCTGTTCCTAGCTGTCTCTCTGTGTCTCAGCTTTGACGATCTCTGTGTGGAGTGAAACCAAAGCTCGTCCTTCCTGCCTTACCCCAAACGGCTTAGGAAGCTGGCCACTCACCTCCGCCAGCGTCTCCCTGTTTTTGCTTGTGGATAGCTGTGTAATTGTTGGCCTTTGTGGTGGGGACAGAGGCTGGGAGCTCCTCCTCCACCATCTTGGTGACATCAGCCTTTTCTGTTTCTATAATGATTCTTCCCCAGTCTTTTTCTTGGGCTTTTTGTGATTGGTCTTTACCTGAAATGTCACCTGAATCCAGGTTTCTCTCCTTCGCTCTCTTCTCATTATACACTCCAGTCTGTGCCAACTTTAAGAAAGCCAAGGACACTGATAAAGATCCGGCAGAATGCCACCAATATTGTTTTTCCATGGGCATCAGGACTGTCACTTTAGCATCAACTGATACTATCACTCTACAAGGTTACGTTGCATAATCTTGTTAGTATTATTAATACACCACGTTCTTTGCTTCTTTCCTGTGTTTCTGACGAGTAGCATAACACAAGGCAGTACATACCAGCCCTGGAGCTAGGGGTCTTTTTGATAAATCTGGTACTTTATGAACTTTGGGCTATCAAGATTTATAGTACTTATTTTTAGTAGCTTTCTAACACATCAGATTGAACATCTGAAATATTGTGTTCATTATATGGTCTCAGAAACTCACTGCATACACATTTACTGATTTCCAAAATACTTTTATTTTGTTTTATACCTAAAGTACTAGACACTATGCAGTAGTCAACAAATGAAAAAACATAGTCCTAAGGCATTGACTTTTAGAGATTATGTAATTTTAAAATTCAAATATCTTTAAAGTGAAAAGATGACTTTCTACAAAATATACAACTAAACATACAAATGAGAGTTGTCCTTTCATAAAGTTTACATTGAGAGGCTGGTGAATAAAGAATTTGCAGTGCTAACGGATGAATTTGTTTTTGACATAAATTATAACATGTAATACTCTAGGTGTTTTTATGTGAAATGATAATGTCAATTTTTAAAAGATTACTCATGCATCCTTCGCCCTGTAAACTTCGGTATTGTTAAGGAAGTAATCAGGTTCCAGCCCCTCAGCCTCCTGTGGTGACACATGAGAATCAATAATTACATTTCATTATAGACATGTAGCTGTTTTTACATTTAGCATTTAATCATTTATCTGTAATGAAATATAAAGAGAATATTCCAAGATTTAGAGGCATGTATATTGACAGTAGCATATTCAAACTAATACTTAGCATGCTGTTTACTAAAATATGATTCCTCTTTCTCCCAACAGAAATTTCCCTCACAATTTAACCCAGGTAAAACATTTTTTTTTAATGCTGTATATCCTCCATGATTGCTACTATCTTATTTCCCTCTTATCATATATACCAGGAGAAGAATTTTCCAAACTAATTTTTTAACAAAACGTGCTTAGAGCAGTGGTGCTCAAGGTATGTTTGAGGACCTGTAGGGCTCCACAGGCTTTTTCAGGAGGTCAATGTGATCTACCCTTTTCCAACCTTATATCTGTATTAGGACAGATTCTCCCCATATACTTCCATCAAAACATATACCAACAGTTTGAATGCAGGAACACAGATGATAATCTAGCTGTCTTCTATTAAGCCAGATATTTAAAAGATTTTGTAATGTAAAATGTAAAACAACCATTCTTAGAATTTTTTTGTTTGGGGAAATAGTTATTTTTTCATAAAAATATGTTAGTTATGTTGACATGTAATGGGTTTGCCATAGTTTTTAAAATAAACATATTTCAATGTTCTCAATTTTAATTTGTTATATAGTATATACTGATAGATATAACCCACATAAGACAAAAGCTCTGTGGAATTTTCAATAATTTTTAAGACTTTGAAGGGCTCTTGAGATCAGAAGTCTGTAACATCTGGACTAAAGGATGATTAGAATATATGATAGATATATTGAAAAATTTTCAAGTTGAAATAAGGTGATAATATTTAGAAATTAAAGACCCGTAGACATTTTAATTTTCTAAAAGCAGTCATTTACTAGAAAGAAGAGGCAGTGAGTAAAATAGTAATAAATAAACTTCCTACATTGAATCAAGATGATTGATTGAGCCCATGTGTCTCCTATTCCAAATACAATTGACATTGTAGAATTTTTTATTAAGGCTATCCCTATAACAGTGCAATAAAGCAAGAAAGAGTATTATTTGTGGATAAGGCATTTTAATATCGAAAACAGAAGGAAACTTCTAGAAGTAGAATACATATACAGACCCAGATAATGCAGAATAACCTCCATCTCACTCAAAACATATAGAAATGCCTTTAGAAAATGTGTGTGTGTGTGTGTGTGTATAATGCTAGTGTAGACTTTTACATTAATACAGGTGCACGTGTGTGAATAGAATTGAAAAGCAAGTAAAGGTACTTTCTATTTCTCAAAAATAATTAAAGAACTGAAAGTCAAAGTTACAAGATTGAATTCTGAACTGAGGGTATTAGACAGAATGTAACCCCTAGTAGACAAGGGGTGATGTTATAATGTGTGTACACAGATAGAAAGTGAAGCCTCTGACCTGTGGGAGAAAGAGGAGCTGAAATTAACCTTCCTACATGATGCTAGAATTTATAAAAGGTCTGTAATATGGGAACTAGTATAAACCTCCACTCACTGACTTAGAGTGATTGCAAAGAAATGATACATCACTTGGGGGCTGTAAATGGACAAGAAGTTACCTACACAAAGCTTCAGGTGGGTATCCAAGGTTAACAATCCAAGAGGTTGGAAAACCTAGAGCCAAGTAATAAACACAAAAAGGCAAGCAGCGAAACACATAAGGCCCAGGCAGAGGTGATTGCAAAAACCATTTCCATAACCAAGCGTATACAGGATTCTCACTGAAAACAACCCTCTGAAAATAACCTCAAAATATAAGGAATAAGCCACGCACAAAAAAAACCAAACTGCTTGAAATAGACACACACATAAAAATGGAGAAAGTTCATACTATTCAAAACTAAAGGTGAAAACCACCTGAAAGATTATTAAATCCATATTTTAAATAGTCACAGAGAGAAAAGGAGGGATAGAAACAAAAAATAACAAGAACAGGGATAATTCATAATTATACAACATTCAGAAATTTAAAAACATCCTATTAATGTCTTGAAATGAAAAAAATAGGCATCAAAAATAAAAATTCAATAATAAGTTACAGTTAAGAAAATGACAGAATTAGTGATTTGGAATGGGAGTCATGAAGAATGCAACACATAAAAGTGAAAAGATGGAAAATATCCAGAGAGGTAAAGACAAATGCAGGATAAGCTGAGACAATTTATCATACATATAATAGGAGTTCCAAAAGTGTAAGAAAAATGAATTGCAGATAATACTGAAAGGGGATAATAACAGAGAATTCTTCAAAACTGAAGACATGAGTTCTCAGCTTGAAAAACTAAAGTACCAGATGCAGTAATGGTGAGCAAATAAACCATATAATTTGCTAATAAATCTAAAAAAGAATTGACAATTAAAACATTTTAATAATGACTAATGTTTTTTAAACAAAGTGAAATTAAAATACTAGCCAACAAAAGAATGGAGAATGGAGGGGGATTTGAGTTTGAAGTTGTTGTCCTTATAAGTTTCTTATAAATATTCAGGATGGGGATACTGATTGATTTTAGCCTACATTATATTATATATGCATGTAAAAATTTAAGGTGTCCATTAACGTAATAGGTATAAATGTGTAATTTCTAAAAATAGAGTCCTGGAAGAATTTTTTAAATGCTATCAATTCAATAGGGGACAATAAAAAACAAAAATGAAATAAAGAGAAATTAAAATGTAGAATTTAGGGACACAAAAATAAGATTAAGAAATCATTTAAATTATATCAGTAATCAAAATGTCATTGGATTAAATCCACCTAATAAATGACGAAACTCCAGAAATCTCATTTTTGTAAATGTTACATAGTTAAAACAGAGTAACAAAAAATTTGGCAAGAAAAGGATACAAGCAAAAGGAAATTGGGGTGATGATATGAATATCAAATAAAAGATATGTGAAGCCCAAAAGACATTTATAGGCATAAAGAGGCAAATTACTTCATGATAATGGAAAAATCTACAAAGGAGATAAATTATGCACCTAATAATATAGCCTCATCCAATCACAAAGAAGATAGAAAGTTCCCCCAATTCATTTCCTGAATCCAACACTACTTTAATACCAAAAGCAAGGAGAAAGAAAGGGAGAGAGGGAAAAAGGAAAGGAAGAAACTGTAGCCCAATATACTTGTATATATGAATGAAAAATATTTACATAAAATATTAGCAAATGGAATACAGCAATGTATTAAAAAAAAAAACTGAAAAGAGCCAGTATCTTTCAGGAATGTAGCATTGGTTCAATATCAGGAAAATTGACAACAATATCCATTATGTCAGCACAATAAAGAAGAAAATAAATGATCATATCATAAATTTAAAAATTCAACAGCCATTCCTAATGAAAACCCTAAGTGAAATAAGTTTAGAAGGGAACCACTTAATTCTAATAAAATTTACTTCACAAATAACTAGCAATAATTATTATAAATTATTAAATACTTCTAATTCAGTTAAAGTCAGGAATTAGACTCACTATCACCACTATTATTTAACATTGTCATGAACATTACATTACATAAGTAATAGGACAAGAAAAAGAAATATGCATCTTTATAAATTTATAACTTCAGTAAAGACTTGAAAATACTTAAGAATAAATTTAACAAGAATGACACAGGAGCTCTTTCAAGAGCCACTCTCAAATTCTGTTGAATGACTTTAAAAGATACCTAGTTTTTTAAGTTTTTAATCGGACTCCAAACAGATATATTTTAACATTTATATGGGATTGTCTATTCAAAAAATAAATAAACAAGAAAGAAAAGAATTAGATCTACCTCTATTGAAATGGCCACTGCATATCAAGTGACAAAAACAAATTACAAATAACATATAGAGTCCAATTTCATTTTTGTATAAAGTGTGTCAGAGGGTGTGTGCTTTGCCTATGTGTGAGTGTAAAGAAAGATATATCACTATTCCTATGGAGTTTTAATGTTAGTTATCTCTGGACTGTGCAGGGATATTGTTAACTCTTCCTTCATATGTCTTTGGATTGTTTCACTGTTCAAAAAACAACACAGGGCTGGCCGAGTGGCTCAGTTGGTTAAGAGCTCACTCAAGAGTGTGAGCTCTGAGCAACTCTGAGCAACAGGGTTGTCAGTTCAATTCCCAGCCTGAGCTGAGCTGCCAACAGGTGGCAGAATGGCTCAGCTAAAATAACAAACAAACAAAAACACATATTGCTTTGATTTTTTAAAATGGGATAATCAAATTTTTAAAGATAAATGCAAGTATTTGTATGGTTATGTTTTGCCACAACTAAAAATGAAAATTGTCCAAAATGTAAAGAAATGCAAACACATTTTGTTTTGTAGATTTTGACTATATGGATATTAGATCCAGAAAATGCAGACCCAAACGAGCTGCAGGGGAATGCAAGTGAACCTTCACTAGTAGGTGGAAACATTAGTATCATAGATAAAATAACATGCTACATTTTTTTAAGGGCTGTGTATAATTTATTTTAAGTGGTCCAGAACTAACTAGATACATTTTAATTGTTCATTAAGTTTCGTTTACCTATTATAGTGATTTTGAATTTATGTTCAATCTCTACAGTTATTATAAATCTCTCCTTAGAATGTTTTACTGAGCACTCTCTGAATGTCCTGTGAACTTCATTATTCATGAAGAGGCTGACGTTTAAAATGCTTAGCAGATGTTCCTTCTTTTTTTTTTTTTTTTCATGTGTCAGTACTTTTAATGTGGTGTACATAAAATTACAGTAAAAAGATGACTATACACAAGATGTAGTCCCTCTATTTTCATGAGCAGCACATTGCCTTACAGTAAACCAAGTTTATATTCCACCATCAAGTGTGGTTCTCCCATTAGTTCACTTTCTGATGGGTTATTAAGAATATCTTCAAATCCAATAGTCTCATCATTACCCCTCAAAATATCCAGTGAAAGGTTTGAGCTTGGAAGAAATGGAAGACGCTGAACCTGCTGCACCGCCTTGAATTCCATTTGCAATTTCAGTGGAGCAAACAGACCCTGGATGTTTCTCAGTGTGGAAAAATTCATTTTATCTTGGTTGAGCTGGAAATTTTTTTCTGATAATTCAAGAGGGTGACTGGGCAAAAGTTCATTTTTCACACAAGAAAAACCTTTTCGAAGAAGATCGTGACTTTCAAAAGGTCCGCTTGCTGAAAGTTCAGTAACAGGAATACTGTCCTTTAGCTGAGATCCAAGTCCTCTGGCATTCATTTTCTACTCGCTCTGCGAACAACCTCTCAGCCCCGTTACCGTCAGTCGGCCGCAGATGTTCCTTCTTGAAGTTATCTTTCGAAAATCTGTCCCATGTCTTACTGAATCCTTTCCCACTTATAGACTAATAAATTTCCTAAAGGTGCAATATAGCCCAGTTACAAATTTACCTCTTTCGAGATTTTTCTGTCTTCTGTTACAATGTATTGAGCGTATTGAAGAGAAAGATAAAATGAGCAATTTTAGTTTCTTATGGGACTATTTACATATTCATGAGTCAAGATCTGTCTGATTTTTTAATAGTATGTTATCATGACTAATGGTAAATTCACAGAAGATGGACTGATAAATCAGAATGTAACCAATCAACTAACTGTTTTATTTGGCAATCAACTTTAGAGGGAACAAAATTAATTAAAGGTAATTAAATACTTTAAGTATTACCGTTACTTAATTTCTAATCTTCTTAAGTAAAAATATGCACATTTTAACGTTATTTGGCCCATGCATACCTAATACTTTGCTTTTTTGTTGTTGTTGTGCCGTGTTTATTCATGACCATGTCATTTCCTTAAAACCTTTCAATGGCTCCCCATGACAAACAGTATACACAGACTCTTGACTCGTGGACGGTTAACATGGCATGCAAAGCCCTGGAGATTCTATCTCTGCCACCCTTCTGTGGCCTCAGCTCTCCACTTGTCCTGTCACCAGCAGCAGTCCTCTGCTGCGTCCCTGCACACACCTGCTGCCCCGTGCTTCTGGGTCTGTGCTTATGCCGTTCCCTCTGGGGCGACGGCTCGAGCCCTTTCCTCATCTCCTCAACGTTTTGGGTCTCAAGCCTGGTATCACTGCCCCCAAGATGCCTGACCCATATGATCCATGATCATATCAGGACCTTTTTCACATGCGTAATTTGAGGGGATTGTTTTAATTCTACAATTTGGATGAATCATCAACCAAATCGCTCTAACAAAAGGTAAATTGTCTGGGTTTTTTTTTTATCAGCCACAGTGTAATGTGCCTAACAGATAACCAAGTCCTAATTCTATCCTGACTCCACCTTCTTCATTCTCTTCCTTAACCATCCCTGACTTTGAACTCTAAATAATCCCTCATCTTTAACACATTTCCTGTATTTTATTTCATCTTTGAACCTTATCCCACCCCTGTGTCTCAGCACAATAACTCTCTTTCTGAACCACACCCAGTTCCCAACACCCACACCAGGGCCAAAAGGACCAGCAGTAGGATGCGGCTCAGGGATGGGGTTCAGGATAACTTACTTGTACAATTTGCTTTACAAATATTAAAAGGCTCAGAGTTTTATTTTCCTTGAGGGTTTTTTCCCTTGAATTACCATTGTAACTACAAATTATACCATAAAGAAAGAAGCATAAAAGCTAATTATACAGTTTAATGAATAATAATAAATAGCTATATAACCACGCTCAAGAAATAAAACACTAACAGTAGTACAGAAGGTCCCCATATGTCCCACCTGCATGAACATAATTCCTCCTTCTACCCTAGAGGTGCTTGGATGGGCATAATCCTTTCCTTCCCCCAAAGGTAACCATTACTCTGAGCTTTATGGTAATAATTGCTCAGCTTTTACTTTTAGTTTACCACTTAATTCCTAAATAGTACAGTTTAGTGGGTTTTGGTTTTGTTTTATTTAAATGGAATCCTGTTTTATATACATGGTGCATATTGCTTTTTTAGGGGGTCAACATTATGTAAGATTTATCCATGTTATGTATGCCTATAGTTTGTTCATTTCCATTGCAGTATAATAAATATTCCATTGTTTCAACATACCACAAATTTTTTATCCATTCTACTGTCAATGAATTTTGGGTTGGTTTTGTTTTGAAAGAGTGTTGGTTTCTCTTTTTTTCCAGCTTTCTTGACATATAAGTTATATATATATATATGTATATATATATATACATATATATATATATATATAAAACATTGTGTAAGTTTAAGGTGTACACATGTTAATTTGATAGACTTATACATTGTGAAATGATTACCACAGTAACATTTTTAACAGTTCCATCACTCCACATAATTACCATTTCTTTTTTGTGATAAGATCATTTGAGATTTACTTTCTTAGCAACTTTCAAGTATTTTGTATTGTTAACTATACTAACCTTGCTGCACATTAGATCCCCAGAACTTACTTGTCTTATAAGTGAAAGTTTGTACCTTTGACCAACATGATCCATTTCACCTGTCTCCTCAAATTCTTGCAACCACCATTCTACTCTCTGTCTCTATGAGTTCGGCTTTTAGATTCCGCATAAAAGTGAGATTTTACAGTATTTGACTTTCTCTGACTTATTTTACTTAGTATAATATGCTCAAGTTCCATCTATGTCATTGCGAATTTCCTTCTTTCTAATGGCTGAATAGTATTCCACTGTGTGTATATATATAATGTCATATATCTGACAATTATATGTCTGACAATTAAGTTTGCGAACTTGATGCAGTGATGTTGCCAACTTTTTTTTATATCAGAGGGATTATTCATTATGAATTTGTACCAACTGGACAGTTAACCAAGTTTACTATTGGGAAGTGCCGAAAAGGCTGCGTGAAAAAGTTGGATGACCTGAGCTTTTCGCCAACAATTCATGGCTCTTGCATCACGACAATGCACCAGCTCACACGGCACTGTCTGTGAGGGAGTTTTTAGCCAGTAAACAATAACTGCATTGGAACACCCTCCCTACTCACCTGATCTGCCCCCAATGACTTCTTTCTTTACCCAAAGATAAAGGAAATATTGAAAGGAAGACATTTTGATGACACTCAGGACATCAAGGGTAATATGACCACAACTCTGATGACCGTAGTGATATTCAGCAATGAGGCATGTAGCACTTTTTCTAGGATGAGTCCGCGAACTTAATTGTCAGGCCTCTTATGTATTTTATATTTTATACATTTTCTTTGTCCAATCACTCATTAGCAGACACTTAGATTGTTTCTATATCTTGACTATTGAAACTGATGCTGCAATGATCATGAGAGTGCAGATATCTAATCGAAAGGGAAATAGTCTGTATATCTGATGATGGCCATAGCAATAATATTTAAAATAGTCAAGCAATAAAACTACCTAAATGTTCAATAGGGGATTAAGTCAGTGATGATAAATTACTCAATGGAATATCATGTTATCACTAAAAATGATATTTAAATAGTCTTCTGGTTATATAGCATGAATATATAGCAATAGCCTACATTTGGTAAACCCTAAGAAAATAAATGTGTTTTTTATATTTTTGATAATTTCTATATGGCAATTTTTTCTATATTTATAAAATTATCTTTAATGACTATGAATTCTCCTCTTAATGAAAAAAAATATGTCTTTGAGCTTGTTTACATGATTGTCTTAACTTTTCTTGGCCTGTCCTTTTTTCTATCATCTTGTTGTACGTGTTGCTTGTTATATTTTATTTCCATCTTATCCAAGCTACATTAAGAATGTTTCATTTAGTCTTTTCCTTTGCAGTATGTGAAAGATAGTTGTATTTAAAATTCTGAAAAGTGAATAAGATTTTCAGGAACAAAATTAAAATACATATTATTTTAGTTTTTTATCAAGCAAACTTGTACTTGTCTATCAAAATCATTAAATGTGTGTTCTTCGCGGGGGCCTTCCCTGACCACCATTCCTACTCTCAAAAGTAAGTTAAATCCTTCTATTAAACAATCCCATAGTCTCAGTGACAATCATAGCAATCTCAAAGGCTCCTTTGTGGGTGCTTGACATACTTCGAGGAAATTCAAAGGAGCGCTATTGGATGACCAGGGTAGAGGAGAGCTATGGAATTCTAGACTAGCCCTCATCATCTGATTTTGTAATCCTAGGGATTCCCCGTAATGAAACTATTGCCTCTATTCTAAAAATATATTACTAGGGAGAATTCCAATCAGTTCAACTTTTCCTTAAATCTCATGAGAAAAAGAGGGAGCATTGTCATATTTACCTATATACTAAGAGAATTTTTGTTAAAGCCTCAAGACAGCATTTGAAACCTGTCTTGAAAGAGCATGTTGTTTTGAAGGCAGGTTAATATAGAAATAATCCTAACAGGTTAGTTTAGAAACTCCATTATGTGTTTCACTATTAAAACTAAGGATATTTATTTAAGAGTCCTCAGCGTCTCAGTTCATTCAGGATTCTAATTGTGCATAGCATTTTCAACATGCTAGAAATTGTACTATGACTCATTTATAATTCGTAATGTTCTGATTAGGAGAAGACCAAATGGTAGAAAAACAAACAAACCTCAATCTTGAAAATGTGGTAAACGATATCTTAACTAAAATAATAAATTCAATATATCATGATTTAATTTCCAAATAATTTTGGTTATGAAAAGAGTAAAAAGATTTTTTTTTCTTTTTTACAGAATTCCATTATACTTAGCAAGCAGTTGGCCGCTTTGGGACAGAAGCCTACCTTACATACAATTGTGAAGAGAAACGTTTATTTTCCCCAAGGAAAAATGAAGAATGGGTATTTAATTTTTAAATTTCAATTATAAAATTCACCTTTAAAATTCAGTTTAATAACTATCAGAAACTTAAAGTAAAAGAGATTTTAAAACCCTAGTGGAATTTCATGATCTATCACATGTGTAATTTCCAAACAGCTTCTTTTATGATATACCAAACAATTGTGATAATGAGAACTAGTTACCTACTCAAAAGTGTCAGTTAGACTTTCAGATTACAGTTTCACATTTTGTGAAATCGCTAAACCTCAGTCCAAGAGCCTTATTCAGGATGGTGGCAAATCTTAAATGTTTCCTGTGGTTCATAAAAGTGAGACACAGTGGTGTAACTGATGTCACAATCATTACCATCATCAGTGATGTCACAATCATTACCATCATCAGTGCATGCGCGCGCGCACACCACAAATTCCACCTGAGAAGTCAAATCTGTTAACGGTTAAAATTGTAGGTTATCATGAGCTTTACACAGCCTTTCTTAATCTATTGAGCACCTAGGCACAGGTCAAGGTGCTTATAATTAGAAGCTAGAATTCCCACCCTCAATAATCTTACAGTTAGTGGGGGGAGAAGGGACAAGTAAACAAGTAGATGTTATGATCGAGGTGAGCCAGGGGTGAAGTGGAGCCCACAGAGGGCGCACCAGCGAAGGCTTGGAGGGAAGCAGGGAGCATTTTCCTACGAGTTGACATCTGCATTATTGACCAGACATTAAAAGTTAGCCAGCTGGGGAAGCATTCCAAACAGAGGGGCAACATCTGCAAGGGCCTTCAAACAAGAGACCTGAGAAAGCAGATGCATTCTAAGGAGATGGCAAAGAAGTTCCATTCAGGGATAAAGTAAAGGGTGCCATCCAGAGAGAGAAAATAGTTCTGAAACACTAATAATACTTTGGAGCTAAAATGCCTGCTGGTTTTGTAAAAGTCGTTTATAAGCGTTTGGGAGGCATGGAAGAGAGCACTAGCAAGAACAGATAATTCCAGTCCTAGGCAGCAAAATGAGGTTAGCATACCCAAATTCAGGCAAGGGAATAGATGAGAAAAGAAAATTATAGGCTAATCTCATTCGTGAACCTAGATGCAAAATCCTGAATAAAACTTTAGCAGACTGAATCTAGCAGTATATGAAAAAAGATATGACATATGATCGAGTTGACTTACACCAGCAGTGCAAGGTTATATAATAGTTTTAAATGTTTTAATGTAATTTACTACATAAATAGATTAAAGGGATAAAACTATAGGTCATTTCAATAGGGACAGACTAAAGCTTTACTTAAAAATGAGATTGTTCTTTACCTGAGATCATATAAAAAAATAACCTCACGAATAGTAATATTAATCTCAGAAGACATTCAAATGAAGGGTTAAAATGAAAATAAAAATTTAGAAAAAGATAGGAGAATTTCTTTATTAACTCAGGATAGGAAATGATTTCTATAATAAATCAAAAGGTAAAGGTTTGCTAAGGTAAAGATTTGATAAATCAGCTCATTGATAAGTACATGAAATGTTCAAACTTATTAGTAATCAAATAAAAATATTAATAGCCCAATGAGACCCACTTTTCACACTCCAGACTGATAAATATATTAACATTGTAGAAGGTTGTTGGTGAAAATGTCTCAGTTTGTTCAGGCTGCTATAGCAAAATACCATCATTAACTGGGTGGCTTATAAACAAAAGAAATGTATTTCTTGCAGGTCTGGAGGCTGGAAGTCTGAGATCAGGGTGCCAGCATGGTTGGGGGAGGGCCCTCTTCTGGGGGGCAGACTTCTTGTTGTAGCCTCGCTGGTGGAAAGGGTGAGGGAGCTCTCTCTCTCAGGCCTCATCTAAGGGTATGAATCCAGTTCATGAGGGCCTCACCCTCATGATCTAAGCACCTCCCTACCTGCTAATACCATCACTATGGGCATTAGGATTTCAACATATAAACTTTGGGGAGAAACAAACATTCAAACCATAGCAACCTGCAACAATGCGAACACTTACATACATTGCTGGTAGAAGTGTAAATTGGCACAACTAATTTGAAACAATTTTACATTATGAGGCAAAGTTGAAGATGCACGTACCAATGCTTTAGCATTTTAATGCCAGTATATACCCTAGAGAAACCCAGGCACAGGTGCACCAGGGGATGTGTAAAAGTATATTTGTAGCAGCATTGTTTCTAATAGCAAAAAAAAAAAAAAATCAAAACTCTAATTTTTATGCATAGACAGATGGATAAACATTCTGTGATATAATCATCCTATAGAATATGAGTATGTACATTACACAGCAGTGAAAATGAATCAAACACAGCAACACAAATCCACATAAATTTCACAAATATAATATTGAATGAAAAAGTAAGTCATAAAAGAAAAATACATATTCCATTTTTATAAAGTGCAAAAACTTGAAAAGCTAAATAATATATTGTTTAATGATGTATATATATATATATATATATATAT